AGATTACTGGCTTGTGTAGTCTGTTTATTATTTTTGAAATTATGCCTTAGTTGGGGCCGCTATAACAAAATACCATATGGTGGTATTAAGCCACCATAGGGTGGCTTAAACAGGAGACATTTTATTTCTCACAGCTCTAGAGACTGGAAAGTCCAAGGTCAAGGTACTGGCAGATGTGGTGTTCGATGAGGGCCACTTCCTGGTTTGTAGATGTCTTCTTGTGCCTTCAGGAGGCAGAGAGCAGAGAGGAAGCAAACTCTCTCACGACTCTGAAAGGGCACCAGTCCCATTCCTGAGACCTTCATCTCTTCACTGACTCTCCTGTGGTTGTTTTGCCTTCCCTTGTTTTCCAAATTTTTATGTACAATGAAAAAACAAACAAACAAACAAACCCACCTCCAGTTGATACATGTCATCAACTTAGCTTTGCTAATGATTTCCACCTCTTGAACAGTCAGAAACAGATTTCCTTTACAAAACTGGGGTTAAATGTGCTCTCCCCACCCTGCAAACGCCTCCCCCGCACCCCCATCCCATCCCCCAACCCCCGCCCCCCAAACTAACAATGTACAGTTTGATCTCTGGTTCCAACAGTGTGATGTGAGGTTCATATCCCAGTTCCCACTTTTCCAGTTTTCTGTCCCACTCTTTCAAAAGTTGTTAAAGTCGCCTCCTGTAAGTGGAGAAGTGGCGTGAATGGTCTTCCCGACCCTGGAAGGACCCACGGAATGGGAGAACAGTGGAACCCTTTCGCCGTCTGCCTAAGCTGGAAAAACAGTCAGGCCGCGCCCCCTAGTGGTAGACAAGGCCTTTCTTCCTGCCGTGTGGCTCTCACCTGCAGGCCTTTTTATTCGGTGTTGGCCGGTTCCAAGCGCCGGATCAAAGAGCTTCCAGAGGCTCTGAGAAACTTTCCATGACTTAAGTCCCTTTTGTATCACCATCGGGTTACATTTAATTTTGGTCCAATTTCTTTCTAGCCCTACACAGTTGGCATGGATCCATTTTCCAAAGTAGGCAAGGTTGAAAACATGAAAAAAATTTAATTGTGGCCAATCATTTCGGCTGACTGTCTTGCCCCCATACAGCTGGTGCGGAGCCTGGAGCTCCGGGCTGCCTCTCAGAAGACTTTGGGTCTCTGCTGGTTCCTGGCCTCACTAGTGTGGTGATCTTAGGCCACTCCGGCCCCTCCCCTTTCCCCTCTCCCACACCTGGCCTCCATTTTCCAATCTGTAGAGGTGATTTCTAAGGACCTTTCTGGATGCAGGCATTAGTGTGTGTGTGTGCGCGTGCGCGTGCGTGCGTGTGTGCTTGTGTGTGTTCGGACGGGGGAGCTGCCTTGGGCTGCACGTTCTCGTGGCTGCTGCCTCAAAAGGCAGCACGTCACTTGGTCAGACCCAGCAGCACAGGAGCGTCTGCCTCCCTGGTACCCCCTCACCCAGCCTGTGATCACTCCTCTGATCCGTGGTTAGGACACTCGTTGCTCAAATCTTTGGCTTGAATTTTTGCGTGGGCTCCGACTCCCACTTGCTGAGTAGCTAGGACCACAGCTTTCACCTCTCTGTGTCTTTATTTCTGCAGACTGTCCTGTTCTGGAAACAAAGGTTACAGGGTACTCTGGAGAGTGGACATTATTGTGGAGAAATCCCAGCACCCAGGGAGCTTTTGCCTTTATCAATGTACTTTATTTTTTTATTGAATGCTGATTCTGAGTGCGGCCGTGGGACCTCAAAGGAACGGAAATAACTGATTGTCAAGCAGGACATTAGAGCAGACACTGAGGGCAAACCCTCAGCTGGTGCTCACAGCAGTTGTAAGCTTCGGAGAGGGAGCAAAGTGGATAAAGTCTGCCACCTGGTGGCTGGAAAGAGTATTACTTCGGAAGAGATAACTGCAGCCCTGCCAGAAGAAAACAAGAAAGGAATTTCTTAGAAAAGGTTCAAATCATAAAGACCTTTCAAAGTCTCAGTGCCCCAGCCTAAGCATCCCTGTCTTGTGGTCCTATTCAAGGGGCTGGTTTCTCCTGAAGTTCTGATTCATGCTGTTCTAACCTTTTCAAACCACCTCTGGGAACTAGGGCTCCCTTTTGGTGCCTGTAGAGTTCCCAGAGGGCCCAGGGGCCTCCTTTCTTGGGTCAGGACACAGACAGGGGCTGGCGATACCTGTGTGCAGCTCCAGCTTGGCTCTGCATGTTGGTCTCTCCACCTGCACTCCAGGCTGTGGAAGATTTGAGCCCATCAGCTCACTTGATGGACTGGCTGTTTGTGGAGTCATTGGCTCCAGTTCTAGAGAGCAAAATTCTGAGACTTCTTCACTTGCAACCTTAGCAACCAGGGCAAGGGACTTGGGTGAATGTCCAGAGCTCATAATCATCTCTTCCTGTGTTTCCCGTTGGTACTGAGTCCAGCCTGAGTTAAGAAGCCACAACCCAGAGGTAACCTGAGGTCTGAAATAGTCAAGTCATTGTACTTTGGTATGTGGCCATGGGCATTAACTGTTGCAGCCCCACACTCTAGGGCTGGCCTTGCTGAAATGTGCTGTAACTATGTAGCATTTGAGTATTTTTTTCAGGGGGAGCATAAGGAACTTCTGCTCCCACCAGCTGCATCATGGTGTGATTGCTCTTATCTTTAGAATACTGTAAGGTGAGCTGACATAGTGTGTACTTTGAGAAAAAACAAAACAAAACAAAACAAAACAAAACAAAACTGCCTACATCCCCAAATCAAACCACCAGCATATGTTGAAGGCATTATTGTGAATCAACAGGCCGATTCAAAAGTCTTACGGAGTTAGACCCTCTCTGCTGGGGCTGGTGGGGGAAGACCTGCGCGGCAGAGGCTGTCGTGGGTAGGGTACCGTGTCCGGATCTGACAGGTGGGCTTTGCTGCCTCTCTGTGGTCACATGGGAGGGGGAGAACGCAGGGCACCCAGCCTCTGAACTGCTGCAGCGGACTGTACCTTCCAACAGGTCAGCCTGAGCCCCAATGTCTGCCTGTGGTCCCCCAGCCACACAGCACTCAGTCCTGTCTGCCGGGATGTCTGGGTGTGTGCCCAGCACCGTAGGTCATCATCATGGAGGTTGGGGACACATGATCCCTGCCAAAGGCTGGTCTGGGGAGACGCGAGAGCTTTCTTCTGTTGTGCTGGAACTCTGAGCGCCCAAGAGGAGGGAGTGGCTATCTTGTTAATAGAATGTTCTTTCTCAGGGTCTGGCACAACCCCTGTGATGGTGACATAATAACAACTGCAGTGGAGACGGTAGGGCCTGGTTCTGTTGTGCGGAGTTCTGACTGCTCTACCCGATCGCTCCTCTCAGGCCCCAGTCCGTCGCCCCCAGACTGGTGGCCAGAGGGAGAACTCGGACTGGAGCTGAGAAGGACACACAGGGGTACGGCTTCTTGCGAGAGTGGCCCTCACCTTCCCCCCTCTCTCTCTGGTGAGAGAGCATTTGCTCTTTCCCTTCCCCTAGTTTTCTCTGCTTATTTTCTGTTTTTATTTAATTTCACTGCACTGATATTGCTTTTGTAAGCTTTTGTACCCCTTCTCCTTTTAGTTAGGTTAGGGGGTAGATCTAAATGATCAGATACAGGTACCTGACCTCACAGAACCTCTCTTGACATAATCCCAAATTGATGCCCTAGGAGGCTTGCGCTGTGGACTCGTGAACAACCCTGGTTTTCTTCCGGAGGATTACAGGTGTGGAGGGGCCTGAGCAGGCAGGTCATCCCTGAGAAGGAAGCCCTGCTTAGCATCCCAGCACTGGTCCTTCAGACAGGTTTCCTTCAGGCACATCCTTGGAGAAGGGAACCTGCCCCCTCCCCATCCCCTACCTGCTGGTCTTTTGTTTCAGAGGAGATAACGACAAGGGTCTTGACAAAGACCTTCGACCTCTGCCTCTGGTGGGGGCACCTGGGAGGTGGCGAGGAAGTGCTGTTGGAGCAGTGCCGCAGAGACGAGAAGAGGGAGGGTCTGTGTGGTCCGTTGTGACTCTGCAGTGGTGACAAGAGCAATGTTTGGTGTGTGGACTCTTCGGGTAGCACTGGGCTTGGATCATCAGAGCCCCTGAGTAGAGTCACAAATGCAACTTAGCCACCAGGATCATGGTAACAGTAAGCCATAGGAAGAGTTTTGAGGGACTTGGTGTTTCATGGATCTGTTGGATTCTCGACTCCTCATTGGACGGCAATCTACAGTCACTACACACCACCAGCTACACTTCCAGTTTGTTTCCTATACTTAGCAACTGAGAGGTGGTCTTGCTCAACAGTGAAGACAGTGGATCAAGACTATCTGGGTTCAGCCCTGGCTGGTGTGGCTCAGTGGACTGAGCACAGACCTGAGACCCAAAGGGTCACCAGTTCAATTCCCAGTCAGGGCACATGCCTGGGTTGCAGCCAGGTCCCCAGTGGGGGGTGTGTGAGAGGCAACCACACATTGATTTTTCTCTCCCTTCCCCTGTCTAAAAATAATTAAATTATATATATATATAATTTAATTATGTATATATATATATATAAAATCTGGGTTCAAACCCAGTGCTAAGTAACTCTTGCTTCTTGTGTGACCATGAAAAGTTTCTTTAACTGCAAAATGGGAGAAAGAATAGACTTTGCAGTGCAAATGAGGTGATTTAATATATTTAAACCACTTATAATTGTGACTGCCACATGGTAAACCATTGCTATTAAGTTCAGCTAACATTACATCCTTGGACCAGTAGTCATGTATTAATCAATTGAATTTGAACTTGAAATAAGAATTAGTGATGGAGATAGGAGGGCAAAAAAACAAAACAAAACAAAAAAAGCCCCCAAATAAAACAGAAGATAACTTTCACTGCAGTACCCCTTTACAAAAGACTTCTGAAATTTTGCCAGTAAACCGGACAGGGTCTGTCCACCATTTGCTACCATGGTCCACTAGTGATGCTTACACGAAGATGGAAGATTTTGTCATTTGAGCCATTCACATATCTTTTAATTGGACCCAGGAGGTGAAGGTCAGTAGTGCTCTTTGACCTGGGGCGGTTTGTGTTTCTTCAACTCTGTGCAACAAGAAAGTAAGCTGTAACAGAAGGAAACCCATTTCCATCCAGCTCTACAGCCCAGAAAACACCTGCCACCAAGCGTACGACAAAATGGAACGTCCACTCCGTCATTTCCAAAGACACTGTCCCCTGAAGGTTTAAAAGAAGAACATAGAAAAGAGAAATCAGTCTTCAAGAGGCTGGGAGAAGTCCTAGGCCTGTCCTCTCTTCCTGGCAGGTGTTTTATTATTTTTGTGATTTACTCTCTGGACCCCATTCTCTCACCTCCTACTACACTCCAGCAAGGGCCACGAAGTCTGAGGCCAAGCAGAGGAGGGTGAGGAGAGGGAGCAGTTTGGGTAGCTGGACAGCAGCCCGCACGCAGTGGAACTGCTCCCCTCTCTCAAGCTCTGGAAGACCTTCAGGACGGAGCGACAGAGGAAAAGGGCAAGGGTTGAAGACCACTAACCCAATTCCATTCCTAGCCTGACGGTCCATCTGATACTGGGGTCCCCTTGCTGGGCTTATATCCACGGGGGCTTTAAGTATGACAGTCCCCAAGAGAACCCCACTTTCATAATCAGACCTGTACCTCCCATCTTACCTAGAGGCAATGAGATCAGCAGGAGGAAGAGCACCCCGGACAGACAGAACCTCATGGCACAGGAGGGCAGGGTTGGAACTTCCTGGAGGTGGCTGCTGGGGAGGCTCCTTTATAGAGCTGGGCGAGCCTGGGTGGAGCTGGCCTCACTCTGCCTGCAAGGGCACCCAGGGGAGACAGGCTCACTCAGGGTTAGAGGAAAGAGTCCCTGGGCCATTCCATGCTACTTTCTCTTCTACACATCATGGAACAAGGGACTCAGTCAAGACAGAACAGGAGCAGAGACCCGGTGCTGCCCATGCCCAGGCTCAAACACTTTCCCTCTAACTTCCAACGTATCTTGATAGAAAAACACCAGGGAACATGTCACCTTTTCTTCTCTTTTCCTTCTGAGTCCCGCTGAGAATGCGGGAGCCCAGAGGGGGGATGTTATAAAACACGGGTTTCATGGATGGCCAGAAAGGATGTGAGCAAGAAGTTGCTGTGTTGCAAGAAACACAGGGGTTCAAGGTGTCAACTGCCGGCCTGACCAAGAGTGAGGGAGATGCTCAGACAAAGCCAAGGAACAATAGCCTTGTCTGTGGGTGGCAGGTTGAGTCACCTAGCTGGAGGCGTAAGCTGCAGCAACTCTTTCCCCAGAAAAATTCACCAAGGGGCTGGATTTTCCAAATGGCTCTTATGAAATGGTAGCTGACGTCTGGAGACTTTGAGTGTTCTGGGAAAAGTTGCTTTTTTTTGTAGTTGACTGGAACTCTCTCTTGGTTTATGGGATGAGCCAGTTCAATGCTGTATTCCAGGTGAGATGCCCTGTGTCAGGAGTGGGGCAAGACAGTGCTTCCCCAGAGCTATATGGATGCAGCTCTTAGGAAGGGTCATTAGGTCTGTCCCCGCTAAAGTGGTGGTGGGGGGCGGGGACTGAGAGTTGAGAGGACACTAATATTGGTTTTGTTCTTGTGCCTGGAGGCAGGCTTGTACCCAACTGGCTCACAGCCATAGCATTCTGTATACAGTGGCAGTAGAGCATGGTTTTATTAGTTATGCTCTGTTTTTTAGCCATATGCCCTTGGATAAATCATTTAGCATCTCTGAGCTTCTTCAGCTTCCTCTTCTCAAAGTGTGCACTGCAAGAGGTTTTTGAGGATGAAATGAGATAAAGGTTACAAAATGCATTGCACTCATCCTGGCACAGATTAGCCCCTCCTCCTCCCTCATTATTATTGTTGCATAGCTGTTTTGTTTTCTCTTGTACAGAACTTCTCCAAGAGACTTCTTAGTGCATGTCAAATATCGCTGGGAGAGTTTTATTCTGGTTCCAGCAATACATATTCAGCTGAGAGCACTGCAATGGGCTGGAATGGGATTGGGGAAGATGGTGGGCTAGGAGAAGAGAAGTCGGTATGTTAGCGCTAGGTCAGGGCTGAGGATTCCCTTCATGACCCCATGGAAGGCTTCCAGCAGACCCTGCACTGGGCATGCAATTCCAGCTTGTAGAGCGCAGGTCGTATCCTGACCATTTGCTACTACAGACATAGCTCAGACTCATTGGTGACACCTCATTCTTTTAGAGATGGAGGAAACAAGGTTCAGACTGGTGAACGGGCTGCACAAAGAACAAAAGCTATGGACTATGTTCCCGTCGAATATTCAGTTCTTTTGGTTCTTGGTTCAGAACTCTATTCTTCTCCATATGCTTTAAATTGTTCAGTTGTGCATTAGAGAATATGGAAGGTATGAACCCAACATTTTCTAAATACTTCTGAGCCCCTCCTGCACACAGTTCCAAAACGCAGAATCAAAATTGCATTTGGTGATCAGTATGTGTTCAGGATGGACCCTTCCCTTTCCACCCATGCATGTCCCGATTAAACCACCTTTCCAACCGTTGGGCAGGAACTTCTCCAATTGAGCTGAGTGTTCCTGTTCCTCGCCTGAGGTCTTGTTGGCCAAAACTGCCAGAGAACTACGGATGGCTTCATCCTCTTCCCTTTAGTGGGTCTCTGTTGGTGCTTTCTTCCTTTATCTTTGTTCCTTAGAATTCTTGGCCCTTCACTATGTGAACTGTGGAGGTTCGGACCCAGCCACATCAAGATGGGCCTCTGTAGCGTGCAGGTTGTTTCCAGCTAAAAGCTCAGTATATTCACGTTATATTAAAAATAAAGTTGGAAGAGATTCTGCTTCCTGGAGTGCAGTGAAAATACCTGGGACCTGTGCTCCGTCTCACTAATCCCAGAAGATACCACCAGGCACACAGAGCTGCCCCCACACTTCACTTCTCTGGTTAATCTCTGGGGCTTCGGGAACCTGGGGGTGGAGAGTCCAGTGGCTCTGATCAGGAGCCCAGAGTTTTACAACAGAGCACAGGATCGAAAGGTGTAAAGAGGGCTCATGCATTTGCCTAGACCAGCCTCTTCCTGTAGGATCTTTGTCCCCACACCCAGCCCATCTCTAGAGCATCCTTGGAGAAGCCAGCTGGGGAAGGCCTGGGACACGCTCCCACGGCCCACCTGAATTTCCGTCCCCTTAGCTGGAAGCACACATGTCAAAAGGAAGATCAGAGTCAATACAATGAGGTAGCCACTCCAGTCTGATGAAGGGATCCTGGGGCCTAGCATCCCGTAGGAGTTGTGGAGACCCCTTCTTCCAGCTTGGGTGGGTGCTGGGGCCCCAGTCTGCCCTGTAGAGCTGATGGGAGAACTCATGGAAGTCAGAGGGTCAGAGTATATTGCTGCCTGCTCCTTAGCAACTGGGGGACTTCAGACCAGAGGAATGAAGGGCCTGAGCACAACTCCCTCTCTGACTATCAGCAAACGCTGATTTAAATCCTGGCTTTCCTGGGGCATGGTCCAGAACCCTCCACCCCTTCACCAGGTTTCTCTAACCGCATATCGGGGCAGGGCCTAGAGTAATGATGGTTAAGCTACAGTTTCAGTCTCTCTGAGACCCTGCAAGCTTTGAGAGATGACTTTAGACCAAAACCCAAGTCCAAACCCAGCAGGAAGAATCCAGCTGGTTATACATAACACCTGCTTCGGCATGAGGGTAATAAATCACTCTGCACCTGAAGAAGTTCAGAGAGGACAGTGAGGTCTGACTGTCCCAAGTGATCAAGAGATAGATACATCTGCCTGGAAGGAACTGTGTAATCAGGTGAATCAATTTATTTCCTTGAGCAAGAGTTGATTATGTGTGGAGCCTTGGGACATTCTGTGAGGAGATACTGGCTTGGAGCTAGTCCCTAGCTGACCGCAGGGAAGAAAGGCCTCAGTGTTTGCTTTTAAGATCAGATGCCCTCGTGCCATTGGGCCTAGTGCCCAGAAGTCCCCAGGTCCAGTTTACATTCTTTCTTAGCTCCTGCCAGCTTGTCTACAGAACATGATGTTTTCCTCTGGGCGTTTAAGTCTCTTTCCCCTCCTCAAATTGCTGAGCACAATTGTAGTGAACTCGGCCATCATTGTCTCCATGAATTTCTGTAGAGAAAAGAGATTCTTGCAACACTGGCCATGAGCGTGGCATGTGAAAAATATTCAGCCTTACTTACAACTGTGAGAAGATCATGAGCCCACCCTCCTCCTCCTCAGACTCAGATCTGTGAGAAGTGAGGCCCAGACCCAATGCGGGAATACACGCAAGGGCCGGGATCTCTATGGCTGGGGAGGAGAAACCAGCATGGGGGGGATTCGGTTCAGTTCAATGTGACCAACATCTGTGGCACTCTATGCTAGGCTTAGTGCTGGGTTCTAGGGACAGAGAAAGCAGAGAAGATTCTTGCCCTCATGGTCATATCTTTCATATGGTTATAATTTTCATACAATGAGGAAAGAGCCATCATAGTTTTATGTACATGCTATTATGGAAACTTGCGGCACTAAACTGAGCTTTGGGGGAGGCAAGGAAGAGTTCCTAGAGGAGATGAGAGTCTTGAGTAGAATCTTAAGGGTAAGTAGGAGTTAGCCAGGAAGAACAGAAAAGAGGGCTTCAGGGAAACGGAGTAGATCCACAGGATTTGGGCACAGAAGAGCAGAAGAGTATGGTGTGTGTGGGTATGCACACATAGTTATGCGTCACTAGAATGTGGGGTTCCAGATGACGCTGGAGGGGAGGCAAGGCCAAGTCACAAAGAGCCAGGAGTGAAAGTTTCACAAATGTTGACTGAACGTATTAAAGCGGCACCACCACCTGGGGTGCAAGGAAGTGATAAGGTCTGATTCGTCTTTTGGATAGATTCATTGAACAGTTCGATGCAGGATGGATTTAGGGGTCAAAATTAGAGTTCAGGAAGGTAGGAGGCTTTTCAACCATTCAGTCAGCTCTTTAAGCAACACCTCTGCTGGCTTGCCCCTTACCCTGGAACATTGCTCCAGTGGGCAGTGCCCACTATAACAACATTAATAAGAATGTGATACTGTACAAACAAAGACTATGCAGAGGTTGAGGGGAGAGGTAATGTCAGTATCTGGAGGAGAGTGGTTCTACTCTGGGGTGCTCCTTGCATTTGTGCATTTACCATAACCCAGGGTTTACCTCTTGGTTTTCCACTCCCCAAAAGCATATCCATCTCCTAGGGTTACCTGAACCAGGCTCATAAGATTGATCCATAAAACAAGCATCACAATTTATTAACTTATGATAAGGATCAGTCATCATGGGGTTGGAATGTTCATATGTCGGCTGGATCAGATGAAGGGTGCTGGGCCTGAGCCCTCATGCCTTGCTGCAGGACAGACACAGTTGGAGTAGTTTGTGCTCCCGTTACCTTGATGAGGGTTTGCCCAGAGAAGAATGGTCTTTATTGACATGAGTTTGAAGTCCACATGTCTTACAATCCTGATTTTCCTTGGTTTGTGTCCTAATACATGTTTCCCCAAATTAAAATAGTATTGATGTTGAGACTTATCTGGTGGAAGGAAGACGTTTCTGTATCTTATGTGCTATCCTGCTTAAGGACACAACAGCTCCTCACTGGGCCGAATAGTTTGTGCTGTGGGATGCGGTGGTCTCCTTCCAGGCTGAGCTGAGTGTGACGTTGATGGTGTCACAGATGTAAGGTTTGATTACCCA